TTATTATATTTATAAAATGCGTCTGTGTCCTACCGCTGCAAGTTCCCTTTGCGGAGGTTACTCCTGCGACAAGCCAATTGTTGATTAAAATAGTTAGATCGGGATACATTCTCCATCCGAAATTTTTTGTCCTTTCTCAGTGTTGCAGCAGGAAAAAAAACTTTTTGTATTCTGGATATTATGGGTAATGATTTGCGGGACGAAAATGGGGAGCGAAAATGGGAGCCGACAAGTGAAGTTGGTGTTGTTGCAGAAAACCTTCAAGGACTTCCTTGCTCAGATCTTCTTGTCCAATGAACCTGCAAAGCCCCGAGGGTGGTCCTCGGATAGACACTCCGATGCTTAAGTCAGCAATAGTCTACACTTAGAGCTCTTTAGAGAGAATGGAGTGTATTAGAGAGAAATACTAAAGGAGGAGTCCCGTACCTTTGAGGGGTGTGGGGTTATTTATAAATCCTTTAGGAATGCTGGACATGTGTTGCACTTCTGTTGGTCCCTTTGGATCTATTTGAGTGTATATGAACTCCATAGTGACTTATGCATGTGCTCTTTTGTATTTGGGCCTCATGGGCCTTCGCTATGTTTATGGGCTAGTTATACCCTTACACTATTCCCCCTCCCGAAGTCATTCACTTGTGAATGATTAGTGTGGAAGATGAGTGTAGATGGGGGTAATAGATGTAACAATGTATGACATGAAGTCGCGCTTTAGGCTATAGCCGAGGTAAAAATGCATGACACAGAGTCATGTGTTAGGGCCGTAGCCTAAGGCAAAATGCATGACATGGAGTCATGTGTTAAGAACATAGCCTAAGTAAAAATACATGACATGGAGTTATGTGTTAGGGCCATAGCCTAAGTAAAAATACATGACGCAGAGTCATGCGTTTTGGGCCATAGCCAAGGTAAAAATTCATGACTCAATTATTGTGGCTCGAGCCAAAGTAATATAGGTGACGTGTGGTCATTATGGCCGGAGCTGAAATAAAATAGGTGACGCATAGTCACTATTGTGGGAGCCAAAGTAAAATAGGTGACTCGTGGTCACTATGGTCGTAGTCAAGGTAAAATCGGTGACTCATAGTCACTGTGGTCGGAGTCGAAGTAAAATAGGTGACACGTAGTCACTGTGGCCGTAGCCGAGATGAAATAGGTGACGCGTGGTCATTGGCCATAACCGAGATAAGATAGGTGACGCGTGGTCATAGGTGACGCGTGGTCACTGTGGCCGTAGCCGAGATGAAATAGGTGACGCGTGGTCACTGGCCGTAG